AGATTATCAAATATTACCTCATATTACCCAAGATTATCTTAGAGTATTTAAAATTACGTCATATTTTCTGAAATTACCTGAGATTTTCCCAAATTTACTTTGCTCACCTAAGATTACCTTGTGTACGAGTACATAAAGTATTATTTTCTTCACATCACTCTAGAATATCTTTATAGGTCACTATGATAAGTATCTTCGAGAAGATCGATTTTAGCTTTTCACTACTTAAGAAAAAAACGCAATTTTACAAAACAAATATTTATTGCATACAGGAACGTAAAAATATAAAAATTTCGCAAACAGAATATATATTATATGTATAAATAGCAACAAGTTCGACTACTCGTAACGTTTGAGATTTTTTAATACTAACATAACAATATCCAATTGAATATAAATATTAATAGGTAAAATAAAAAATATTTTTAAAAAAACACTAATAGTAACACAGACTCTTTGTTAAATGATATCACAACTCAGTGTTAAATTAAAAATTGTTTATTCGACTAATCAAGTTAAGTATAAATAAAAAGATACATATGCGAAACAAAATCTGAAAACTTTTATGTGTACGTATTTAAACATTATTAAAGTCTTGATGTAACTAAAACTTTTTTTTTAATTTTTTTGAACTGCTTTATAATCAGTTTTCTATCAGATTGAGAAATAATTAAAGGATTAAGGGTGTTAATACCCTGCATATTAATAGGGCCATAAAATATATATCTATTCTCAATTTCTTGAATATCATCTTTTTGCGGCCACTCAAAAACTTGTAAATTGTTAAACAGAAATTTTATTTGAAACATTTGATTAGTATATTATTGTAAAAAGGTATTATACAAAATGCTCACCAATGACGATCACTAACTTCAAAAATCGAAGATTATCTTAGATTACCTCAGATTATCTGAGACTACTTTAAGAATACCTAGAATTACCTACAGATTATTTGATGTTACCCTTAGATTACTTAAGATTTCCTATTAGATTACCCAAGATTACCTGAGAACACTAAAGATTATTTAGATTTACTAAAAATTACTTTGGATTACCCAAAATTTCGTTTGAATTGCCGCTAAATTACCTAGCTCTTGTACAAAAATTATCTCACAATCAGTGACCAATCTCTCGCTTATTTATTAAATAGACAATAATAAGAGATACAATTTACAATTTTTATTACTTATAGTAATTCCCTATAATTATTAACAATTATTAATTTTAATGCACATTTTCTTATCTTTAAAAAACTTCTCAGTTTCTGCTTTACAAAAGAACTGAAAAATTTAATTAAAAAAAAAGAACTTTTTAGTATATTAGATAAATGTTCAAGAAAATGTGAAATATTTATGTGATGAAAATATCAGTAATAATACTTGAGAATATTTATTTTTGAAAGAAATTTGTAAGATTTTATATATATGTATTATATTTTTTTAAATTTATACGGAAGGTATAAAAAAAAGATTAAGATATTGAATAATCTGCGAATAGCGCGATTAAAAAAATTCTAAATTGAGGGGGATTATTTTTGGTAATATAACCGAATATTTTCGTAATAAAAAGAATTCCAAAAGAATTGCATATCATAGTAAGTATTTTTCCTTATCATTTGTGTTTCGAAATATCGGAGGTTATAAAGCTCATTTTTTATTGTCCAACTCGATTTTCTTTCTCTCTCTCTCTCTCTCTCTCTCTCTCTCTCGCTCTCTCATTCTCGTATCATCATCGCGCATTGTATCTCCGTGAGACGCAAAAACTCACAAGGAGGCGAGAATAATCGATCGATCATCTCCTTTTCATCTCATCTATCTCGACTCTGGTACTGGTGGTTTTTTGCGCGTTGCACAATACCATCTATAACATGTTTATACACCGAAAATTATTATTACAGCGTCAAGAATCTATAATTGCTGAGAAACGAGGCCACTTATGAATTTTAATTACGTAGTTTTATGCTTACAAGTTCTTTTCAGACCATACGATGTAAATTTTGAAAATTTCAGTGTTTATTGTTGTGTTATTCGTGAAAATCATATTAATGTGTTCTGCATCGAGCAGATTAAAAAATACGAAAATTTTCTTCGTCTTTCTTGTTTAAAAATCTAATTGAAAATTATAATTTATCCTTGATTCTCTTATACGCGTGGTTAAATTTATATAATAACTGGAACAGGTTGTGACTTCATACAGTTTTAGTATTCTTAGTCAAGTCTTTATAACTCTTTTTCAATCAACAAATCTTTATGAAATATAAGATATTTCATGCGATTAGCATAAGACACAACAAGATTATGCAGTTTATCTTGTAACAGTTGCGTTACAATTAAATATGCATTATTGCAGTTTATTTTGTAACAGTTGCGTTACAATTAAATATGATATCGAACAGCAGAAACTGGAATTAACATTGCATTATGCGCTTGTAACACTTATAAATATCAATGTTGATGTTAAAATATTGTCAAAGTAAAATCTGCCTAAAATCAAATGAGAAAATATCGTTATCTATTTGAATTTACTTAATTCGCAAAACCTTGATAAAGAAAAATCGATTTTTAATTGTCAGTTGAAGCGCCTGGAGTTATAGATCATCTGTATAATACTAATCTCATAAATAAATAGCATTTAATCAATTTAATTCATTAACGACCAATTTTCATTGTTTAGACAATAATATTGTTATGAAGAAAATTTATTTAATTACTTTTTAAGAAATTAGCTAAACTATTTTTAATGATCTTAATATTAATATCTTTAACACTGAAACACAACACACCGCCCGCGCTGATGATATCCTGCCAGCTTGAAAGTACCAATTTTCTATTTTTGTTTTTGGTTAATGAAGAGTTATTTGAATATATTATTTATATTATTAAAATTATTTCTTTTAACAAACAATTATAATTAAAATAATAACATTACATACGTTTCGACTCCGATCGGGTCATTTTCAATGCAAATAACAAAAATTAACTTAAAAATCCGGTAACAATAAAAAAAATATTTTTTCTTCTGACAAGGTAAAATAATTTTCCGTTACTTTTATATTCATCTAACATTGTTAAATAATTTTTTGATATGGTAGCAGATATGGTTATGCAGGATTTTGAGGAAATGGCTATTGGTTTATTGCCTGTTCAGTTACCTTTTTATTACAGATATGTAGATGATATTATATTGGCAGCCCCAGCTTCTAGCATTAATGATATTTTAAGTATTTTTAATTCATTACATGCAAGATTACAGTTTACTATGGAGATTGGCAATGATGGAAAAATAAGTTTTCTGGACACGTATATTATTGTTAAAGATTTTTATGATCTTTGATGGTTACCGAAAGGCTATTTTTTCTGGCAGATTTCTTAATTTTTATTCCCAACATCCTGTTTGTCATAAAAGAGGCATTATATACAGTGTTATTGATAAAATTGTTCGTTTGTGCCATCCTACTTTCCAACAAAATAATTTGATTGATGCTATTAATATATTTTTAAATAACGGATACCCTCTTCAATTCATTTTTTCAACAATTCAGAATAGAATAAAATACCATATTAACAATAATAATTTGAACTGTAATAACACTTCTTTAAATAAATTTTTCGCTGTTCCATTTGTTAATTCAATTTCGGAGAGATTTAAACCAATTGCTAATGTAGTAGATTGTAAACTGGCTTACACTATTCCTAACACACTTAAACTAATTAAAAGAGGCAAAGATAAATTAGAACATACACATAATCAAAATGTAGTTTATAAAATATCTTGTGAGAATTGTGATGTTAGCTATGTTGGCCAGACGAAGAGACAATTGAGAACTAGAGTAAAGGAA